TAGCCTAAGATCAACTTTCATTCTTTCAAGATTATTTGTGTTGGCAATAAAAACCCTGGATCTTCATAGTCCTCTGGGCTGCATTATCTGGGACTATTATACTAGTTAGTATAAAAGTCCCAGGCATTATTCCGTGCTCGAAACAAATTTGAATTCTTATCCAAGACTTAAACGATCCTATTTTCGTAAACATTTAAATATCATTATAACAAAAAATAGCGAAATATTAAGATGCATATAAAACCGTTCTTGTGTGCAAAATTTAATTTCATTGGAGTCAAGACTAACTTTATCAAAATATCGATATTCATTTTAAATTTGGTTACACCTGAGCATGTATAACAAAAGTTACGGAATCTATATACTCTATTACAAATTAAGCAGGAAATTTCAATGAATTTGGTCGGACACATATTTAAAACAATTCTCCATAAAACTTTTAAAAAGCCTCTTGAATAACAACCCCCTCTCTTATTTTAACTGAAAAGACCACTAAATTAGCAATGTTCGTCTCATTACAATTTTTAAATCTTCGAACTTATTTCTTTAAAGATTTCTAAAGTGATGACTAAGAAGATCAATTCACTATAAAAGGTGAAGTGAACATAAATAAAAAATCAGGTAAAAAGAATAACTAATGATCAGCCAAAGGGAAGTAACTAGAACAAAATTCGCACCATATTTACTAGTTTTTTTGTCTAAACAAACCAATGTTCTCACTTTATTTTAGGTTTCTGTGTTTCAATATATATCCATGAATGTAATAATATGTGTACAGAACATCTGTTTTTCAATTAAAAATCATGTGCCCAGGACTAAACTTGTCAACTGTAACACAAGATAATACAGGTCATTTTTAAACATAGTAGTAATGCAACGTAAACGGGTTTTCTTGTGTAAACAGTTTTTCCTTTCATAATTTGTCTCATACCCCGCTAGCTCATCCGTTTAGAGAGGGTTCAGCCTGTGCTTTCGCTTCTGGACTTCGGAAAGCATACTCGCAATACAAGAAAATAATAAATTCAATAAATGACAAGTATAAGAAACCTAGAAACTACTAGAGATGACAATTTTGCCAAGCAATGCATATGCTCATATAACAAATAACCAAGGTTCATAAAACAGTTTCATATTTAAAAGATAAAAACAATGAAAATACATAAATATTTGCGGTATCTCCATGTAAAAATTAAAATTCTTTCAAACTTTAATACATTTTCGAACTTCCTCTTTTAGAATAAAACGATGCATTTGGGGTGAAAAATACAAAGAAAAATTAACCAATTCAAGAAGTGTTTCGTCTTAGTGCTATCTAATTGATACTACAATTTTAGAGGTGTCCGTTTACTTCAAATATAGCGAGCTGTACACTAGTCGTCTTTAACAATTAACTAATTAAATCAATCAAGTTTGTGACGTCCCACCTTAATAGATAAAACAAATATACCCACCGGTTCCCACCGACTTTGTTAGATTAGAACATGAACCTCATAATTCCACGTACTAGGAAACAAAATCAATCCAGTAAAAAAAAAATCGCATTACATCTATTCCCGTCTAATTTTTGGTCTAACCAGAGCAATGTCTGAAACACTTTTTCCAATATCATTGACCAGTTCAAGACCTTAAATAAAACATAAGATATTACCAAATTCCATTCCAAAGTCAGACACGAACAATTCCGAAGATTGACGACCGTTTCTCTAAAATATCCCTCTGATATACCATCTTTTCAAATATCGCTATCAAAATGAACCCCATCTCTTTATAAACCCGAAATCATGAAATATCTAACTAGTGTACAATTCTTTTTATTGTATTGTATTACATTGTATTTAAAATGTATAATTGTTTGTATTGCTTGACCCTTATGGGTGTAATTTTGCAATAAAGATTATTTATTTATTTTTGGAATGGAAACGTAAATAAATATTAAGAAATGTTTGACTCTAAAACCGAAAAGAAATATATCAACTGTAATGTAGTAAATATTAAAGTTAAACATGGAAATACAAACAAACGAAATTTAAAGTACAACTATCCAGTACGAAAGTTTTTCCCAATCTAAAGAAATATTGTCCAGACAAGGTTTAAATATCCAAGTCTGGCCATTGAGTCTAAAGCACGATAAAAACGATCGCCCCGAAAATAAACGGACAAATAAGTTATATATAATATCTAAAAATAGAAAAAGGGGAATTTATGATAACCCACAAACGTTACAGTAACACTGTAATAATATGATTAAAACTGTGTGCACTCGTTTAATTATTCTACGATAAAACGTATTGTGCGCATATTTAATTCATACATATAATACTGAAACACAAATTTAAACATTAAGAACAATTTTAAATTAAATAGCTGTGATCCGTCAAATCAATAGAACAGCTACATCAAAATAGGTCGGGCTCATTATTTTATACGGACATATAATGAGGGGGTGAACAGGTAAGTACCTTTTTCCCTTCCTAATCCCTTCACTCCTTTTCCAGTCCCCTTTCTCCCGCCCCTCTTTTCCATTCACCATTACCCTTTCACTTGTATTCCGCCATAAAACATGAAAAACATATATATAGCAAGCTCATTTTAAAAGAAATAGATCAAATGTCTTGATTGTTTATTGCTCGTCAAGTCTTGTCCTTTCTCAAAATAGAAGTGTTGATTCTTCTGCTTCATAAAATCTTAATAGCAAGAGCAACATTTAAATATAATTTTAATTTGAAACGCGTAATATATATTTCAGTCCCCTACAAAATGCCGTCAGCAAACTGTTTTACCCGTGTCCATTTGAGCGCACGTCTTTCACTTCGTTTAATGAAAGGCCTTACTCTAATACAACTTATTGCTTGGTTCTATATTTTTTTTAACTTCAACTTTACATTATAATGTTACTATTGTTGTTTGTGCTGTATTTAGACCCCTCTAACAAGAAATTTGTTTTGCATGCACACGTATAAAAAGTGCGGTTTTTATCCAAAGCAATCATAGGTTTGAACGTTGTTTTCAATTTAGACTTATTTATAAATATATATATATTCACAAAAAAGTGCACACATTGTTAGTTCTTTATTAAACAACAAGTTGCAAAATTTGGCATTTAAAAATATTTCAAAATCACGGCCGTCACTCGGCTAACCGAGAGATTGAGTAGGCAGCTATATGGGCAGTTGGTCTGTTAATCAGGTTGGCTACAGTCTTTTAATATAGTGTTATCGACAAAATCGTTGCAAGATCAGTATGTTTCATTCTATAACATTTTAAATATATTTTATCATAAAAACTATTCATGTCTGGCAAAACAATTCAGTGTACTGAATCCAGCGGTGTAATTATTTTTGTTCTTGCTTCGATAAACGATCTATACAATGAAAAGGCGGGTTACTCATCAATAAATTCATAAACATTTTACACGCACACACAAAATCACAAGTTGGTTGAATTTACTTCCATGCAATATTTTGAACATCGAAAAAAGACAGGCATTATGTGTGTTAACCATATTAATATCATTATGTGATTTGATTTTGATTTTTGTTGTTTTAACGCCACTTTTAAGCACCGCTTTTGGGCTATTTCGTGGCGGCCAGTTTTTATTGGTGGAGGAAGCCGGAGTGCCCGGAGAAAACCACCGACCTACGATAGGAAAACTGACAATCCTAGTCAATTAAGATTGGAGTCGAGTGCACCCGCACGAGCGGGGTTCGAACTGACAACCTCAGTGTTGACTGGCTAGTGATTACAGTAGTAACTACTTAGACCACTCGGCCACCGAGGCCCCAATATCATTATGTAAAAATCTACATGAAAATCTGTATTTTGGTTGCATAAATAATTTTTTATTAAAAACCAGGTCCGTTAATGGGTCGGATGTATAAAACTCGGTCTGTTTAATGATCTGTTAAGTTATAAATGGCAATTAATATAATTTCATTGCTATATGGGGTGTTATCGCAACAAATGGGTAGGCTCAAAACGAGTGTGTAAAATATACGGAAACAACACATGAACAATAGAAAATAAATTTAGAAAATAAAAATTCAAAATTAATAAAAATGGATTGAAAAAGTGAAAAATTAAAGTGATGTTGATTTCATCTAAGAATGGTCGCATATATCATGTGGATTCTGTTTCATTGTCATGAATAACACCAATTTTTCATTTATATTGGTAAAGAGTATATAAATCAGACATAAACTTCGTAAAAGCCGAGTGACAGCCTTGAAAGTGAAACTTTTATAATGCGCCCACTGGTTTACTAATGGAGAATGCATACATATATTCTCATAATTTTTTTTATTGTATAAATGTTTACGAATGACAGAATCATTGAGAATGTTGAACTTTGTGTTTTCAAATGATTTCATTTTCATAATTCATTGGTCAATCTTATTTTTTCCTAAATTTAGTTTGTTTCTCAGATACTTCATGCAACACGTAAAGTATATATGCATGTAATCATCATTGATCATCAATAATAATATTTCCTGGTTTAGATTGTTTATAAAATATACAATAGGTTATCTATATTAAAAGCAAATTTGGTGCTTCGAATGATTGAAAGTTGTACATGTATTTCCAATTGGTTATTTGACCTTGATCTCATTTTCTTGAATCATGTTTAATAGATGTGATAGTTGTACTAAACTTTATATTTAGGACAATCAACATGATAAACGTAATATCATTGGTAAGGAAAAAGTCGACACATTTAAGCGTTTACACTCTACTTTCTTCAAGTACAATTGGCAGATAAATATCATGATGTTACCTAATAAATGCCATTATTAATTTTTAAAAAAATCTCATTTTAGATTACAATCAAAGCCGTCAAATCAATTAGTTTGATAGCTGCTGCGGAAGCTATTAAACTAATAAGATACTGAAACAATACCCGTAAGTATTAAACTAATTTACAATAAATAATCTCTTTATTCATATCTTAACAAGAAATGATTGTAACAGGATGCTGTTACGAAGTCTCCCAAACGAAACTCCCATAATTTGTAATTCCCAGGGTCGCCTGACATTGGGCAAAGTCCAGTGAAAATTGGTTTGGTCCAGTAAAGTTATATGCATTAGTGATGCCTGGGGACTAACCCTGTATATCATTCAAATCATCTTGGCATGACAAACCAGAATATATATGGTTTAGGGGTGGGGATCTTGACCATTTACAAGATATTAGGTTTTTCTTAAATGGCATAGGGTGGGGGTGACCCCTGGGGACTAACCCTGTATTTCATTTGATTTGCTTTATCATGACAAACCAGAATATATATGGTTTAGGGGTGGGGATCTCGACCATTTACAAGATATTAGAACTTTCTCAAATGGCAGGGGGTCGGGATGACCCCTGGGGACTAACCCTGTATATCATTCAAACCATCTTAGCATGACAAACCAGAATATATATGGTTTAGGGGTGGGGATCTCGACCATTTACAAGATAATAGAACTTTCTCAAATGGCAGGGGGTCGGGATGACCCCTAGGGACTAACCCTGTATTTCATTTCATGTGCTTTATCATGACAAACCAGAATATATATGGTTTAGGGTGGGGATCTCGACCATTTACAAGATATAAGAACTTTCTCAAATGGCAGGGGGTCGGGATGACCCCTGGGGACTAGCCCTGTATATCATTCAAACCATCTTAGCATGACAAACCAGAATATATATGGTTTAGGGGTGGGGATCTTGACCATTTACAAGATATTAGAACTTTCTCAAATGGCAGGGGGTCGGGATGACCCCTGGGGACTAGCCCTGTATATCATTCAAACCATCTTAGCATGACAAACCAGAATATATATGGTTTAGGGGTGGGGATCTTGACCATTTACAAGATATTAGAACTTTCTCAAATGGCAGGGGGTCGGGATGACCCCTGGGGACTAACCCTGTATATCATTCAAACCATCTTAGCATGACAAACCAGAATATATATGGTTTAGGGGTGGGGATCTGGACCACTTACAAGGTATTAGAACTTTCTTAAATGGCAGGGGGTGGGGGTGACCCCTGGGGACTAACCCTGTATTTCATTTAATGGGTTTTATCATTTAGAACATTTTCAATTAAAAAGATTGTGTCTATCACAAACGGTTTTTAATTTATAATCATTTGAAAATTTAAAAAAATAAAATCCCATAGGGTTCTATAGTAAAACCCTCTTTTCTTTTTGCCCCTCAAAGTACCCCTTTATAAACCCCATTGCACAAACAAAACCCTGATTGCACCACTAGACATGTTAGTCTAACATATTGTGAAACCCTAAGTTAATCTGACAAGTGGTTTTGGAGAACGGGTGCGGACAAGTTCAAATTTAAAAGCGGCGGAAGAGGAAGAGGAAGAAGAATAATAATAATAATAAGAACTGAGCAAAAACAATAAGTCTTCCCAAACTTCGTTTGGGAGACTTAAAAATCAGAAATGTGAGATGATTGCAAATGAAAAATATATATATATATATATCAAAAATAGGTCACCTAATTATGTTCAACCACGAGCAAACCAATACCTCATAGTCAACTATAAGAAACCCCTAAATAATAAGAAATGAAAATGGAAAACGATTTTATTCCTGACACAAAGCATTAAATTATGTATGAAATAGTGGATTAAACTCGGTTTTGCAGCTACCAAAACGAACTAAAAAAAACACAGAACTAAAAAGGCTTTATAAAAAAGAAAAATATAAAGATCAAACGAATGGAAAACAACTGTGATATTCCTTACACGGTACAAAAATAACTTGTGTAAAAAATAGTGGACTAAATTTCGATATACAGCTACCAAAAACTCTCATGTGTATGACAATCACATTAATTCCATTATGTTGACAAAAATGAATGTTGTTTTCCAATTGTTGACATTTTTACATATTATATGTTTGCTTTTTTCACACTTGTCACGATTGAAGCAAATGACTTAATATTTGTTATAAAATTTAAACAATGAAAGTTGGCATTTTGTTCCAGTACAATCAATTATTAACCAAAAGTGCAATATGTACTAACATGGAATACTCTCAAAATGAGTTTATCTATTTACAGATTAACCTGAATATAAATAAAGGAAATGCAAATACCATCTTAATCAAAGGTAATAACAATTATACAACTCCAAAATATCTTATTTATCATGTCTTAATGATGCTAGTACCCGATACATGTACATTCAATTATCAAAAAAGGCCAATATTTATTTTACAAAAGTATTCTATTTTCCAATTAATAGCTAAAAGTTTACATTATAATAAAATTGAGAATGGAAATGCGGAATGTCTCAAACAAATAACAACCCGACCAAAGAGCAAACAACAGCAGAAGGCCAACAATGGGTCTTCAATACAGCGAGAAAATCCCGTACCCGTTCTTCAGCTGGCCCCTAAACAACTAGTTCAGTGATAATGAACGTCATACTAACACCCAAATATACTAAAATTCAAAATCATACACGTCAAAAAATTCCAGAGGCGCCTGACTTGGAACAGGAGCTACAATAAGACGTTATACACATGTTTTTTAAGATCTCAACCCTCCCACTATACCACGACACAATGTAGAAAAAACAAACGCATAACAATACGCTCAGTAACAATTTTTAAAACTGCTACATTTTGGGGGCAAAAAGGGGTCTTACATGGCCTACTCCTTTGGATATTTTAAAAAAAAAATGGAGATAACTGTGAATTTTTTTTTATTTCAAATACAAATTTAAAAATACAAAACACTACATTCACTAGTAGCACGATTTCAGTCTGAAACGGTCATTTTGGTCTGATCATATCTTAATCGACTGGATTTACCGCTAGAGAAAAACGTCAAGACTTTTAAGAACTTTTCAGACGCCGTTCCGATCGATAGTCGCATCAAATAAATCAGTCCGTTAAGGCATGTCAAGATAAACAAGACTGAATCTTCTAGCGAGCTGTTAAGATCCGTTACGACTGATTCAGTCGAATCAGACCAAATCTCAAAATTAACGTTCAAAATTGTCAGACCATGTTAAGATCTGTTCAGTATGTTGGTATGACACTACGAGTTACGCCCCTTCTGCTTGATAATGCATTTTAGATTAATATATATATGTATTAGAATTTAAAATGTATCTCTCGAATAAATAAAAAAAAATAATTAAAGATTAAATTCTCTGTTGATTCTTTATTTCTGTTGTTGTTTTGTTGAGGAACTAAAGTAATAAATTATTCGTCTATATATGTTGCTTATTTTTTTAATAAATGTTAGTTTAGTTTATTTATTTATATACTTATTAAATGCAAGGACGTATGTTATTTGTATACTCACATAAATGTTTGCTATACATTTAACCTTAAAATGTTGTGAACCCGGTGTGAAAATGTTTTTCGTATTTGAAAATCAGTAACGGCAAATCTTAAACGTAACCTAAAAAAAAACAAGGAGATGTGGTATTATTGCCAATGAGACAATCCACTGAAATGAAGCGGAGGTAAATTAACACTTGCGTATTATTTTTATGTCAGATGCTTTATTTCGTTTTCTGTTGATATGTGCTAGTTTACTATTACCGTTGTTGCTGATTTTATTTTTATTTCCGTGCGAGTTACTCTATTAAACTTAGAAAAGCTTCTACTACCATATCTTTGTAGTACAATATATTATCAAGGAATTGTATATTTAAATATACAATTCCTTGATATTATTAAACAATGATTTACTTTACACAGTGGTGCGTCTAAACACCACCAAGGTCGCCAGAGTACATAAAGCTCCTGATACTGCATTCAGTCTGTGTCGAGACAGTGTTAAAACTATATACAAATTACCACCGTATAAAGATTTTGATTAAAAAATGTATCCTAATAATTATTTTCCTACATATGTATATATAGTAGTTATGGCATACATTTGAAATTTTCCGTTTTAGTTATAATGATTGAGTTCAATGGCACGTGCTAGTAATCAACCGGGTCAACAGGTAACAAAATCAATGATCCATAACGTATGAAAGTACATGACTATTTTACAATATTACACTCAAAGGTGTCGTAAGGCTAAAGGTTAATAAAGAATTAATGAATTTATGTATACGTATTAGTATTTAAGCTGTTGATGTTTGGCCGTCACTTTTAATATATGCTATGTTGTATATTTAGTAAAATAATGAATCTGAATCTATTATAGCTTAGTATGTGTAGTTTAAGATTCTTACATTTTTATATATGGTGGCTTCTTTCTAAACACTATACCAAAAGATAATAAAAAATATTTGAGCGCTGCATCGAAAACCATTTAAAAAAAAAACTTGTACAGTTCGGAAGTTTGTTTTAAATTAGTAGTCAACAGAAACTTTTCGCTTCTCTACTTATATAGTTTTGAGAGTACTAGTATTCCTTTAGATTGTGTCAGTTATGTAAAGTGGTGTGTATTTGTATTCTATTTACTTAGCAAAATTGTATCACTATATATACATTTTGTATTTCATAATTATTTATATATATACTATAAGTTGTGTATTGTGGGTTTGCGGGATGATTTCATTTTTTTAAATGAAAGTAAGATATTGTCATTATACTATGACATGGAACCCACCAGTGCAGTTTTCATGTAGTATAATATTTATAAGTAACGTAAATGTACTTAATATGAATTTTTAATACTAGTAAATCGAAACATAACGGGAGCTAGACGCATGGATCCCCCGGACCTATCAGTTCTTTTCTCTGTTTTGTTTTAAATTTTTTTTAATGTTTATTTTGTTTTTATATTTCGATTTATTTTGTACTTTTGTATAATTTACGGTAACTGTAGTGTATACGTGCTGCCAGACGAAAGATCTATATGTGTCCTCTAGATGGTTTTTTTGTGGATTGGTTGCTTTGTCATTGACGTTTAACACACAACTTTTATTTAGTGTGATCTATGTAGAAATTCAAACGTTCTTAAGAATGAAGGATGCAAATCCAGGCTTTATATAAAGATGGTCATTTAAGAGCCATACAATTAAAAGAATACGAAAAATATAAGTGTTGGAATAACATAAATATACACTATATGTACATTGTCGGAAAATATAATTTTTATTTAACGAACTTCGGTAACTTGACAAAAAGAGAGGCGCACCAATCTTTTCTCCTTTTGTGTAGCGAGTACAAAATGAACTGATCTGAGTTATTTCGTAATGCATTTCTTTTAAATAATAAAATAGCACGTGCTCTATCTTAAAAAAAAATGCTCACTGTGCAGTGTACTACTTTTCAGACAAATTATATCCAATTATAGAGCAGTATAACAGCTCGAAATCAAAATGTGAACCATTCTATGTTGCGGGTTGTGGTCTGCAGTTTAGTTTGAAAGCTTCAGTCATACAAGTGTTTTACCCTTTTTATTTGGACTAGATCACTACTTTACCTTAAAATTCATCATCTAAATTTTCAAACATGTACTACTTTTTATTTGAAGCATAAAATATAAAGAAAGAAATTTGGAAGATTATAACCAGCATTATACACTAACAACTACCAAAGGCTGACAAGTATGCCATCGAATCATTTGTCACACACACATAATATTCACACTGCTGTTCGCTCAATATGGAAGCGAAGTAACAGTATAGATAGATATACGATGATGTGGTATGAGTGCCAATAAGACAACTCTCCATCCAGATTTTAGATTCTTTATCTTAACCAAGTTAATGGTACAAAGAAAGACATTTTTACATATAATTACATACAGATTCTACGCATGACAAGTTTGTACAAAACGAGCATAAAAAGATGAGAGATCGATGATCAACCTGGAGAACATACTTCTGTATTGATAATTCTGATTAATTTACACAAATTTTTCAATACCCGAATATTTGTTGAAACAAATAAACTGCCGAATTTCAAAACATTTACTCGACTTACATAGTAGGGTTTAAGAAAAGCTCTTCTACTTTCTGTTAGAGCTGTACAGTTTAGAATATAGTGAAATTCATCACCTATCTCTCGAGAATTACAAAGTACACAGAACCTTTCCTGTCTAACAATTCCAAGCCATCTACCGGTTTCTATAGGTAACCGGTGATTTCCAGTTCTAAACCTACATAAAGTTATTCTATCTTTATAAGGTAATAAGTCTAAATATTCTTCAAATTCCAAATTTTCTTTAAATA